CGGGTTCAATTCTCCGTGATAGATCTTTCTCGCGTGCATATACTCCATCCCTCGAGCAATCTGAAGCATAATATCAACTGCAGCAGACGTAGAAAATGGCAGTCTCTTCCTTTGGCCAGAATGCTCCTTTATATACGTCGCAAGAGTATCGTTCATCAGCTCCATAACAAGGTACCCTTCTTTCCTTTCTTCATCATAAAAACCACAATGATATTGCAATATGTTTGGATGTGAAAGTGAAAACACTAAAGAAATCTCACTATGCAATGGTTCAACATCTCCAAAAAAGTTCCTCAGAGCAAAATTTTCACCTAACCATTGTATCTCCTTAACATGCCCGCCCCACGACCCTAAACGCCTCTTCACATGATAATCGTTTGATCCAACTAAGATTGAACTAGGTAACAATATCTTGTTACTTTGTTCAACACCATCTAATTTCCTTAGCAAGAATTCTGCGATCCTTTGCTCGTGCTTCAACAAAGTATCTGGTGCAATTGCATTTTTCTTTTGCCTTATGTTTTCAAGAAGCAACCATCTATCTTCTTTCCAAGAACTCTCCAACCGGCTACATATTTCTCGCGTAACTAAATACTGCTTCCCAAACATCCACTGAAAAAACCTCGGATCGATCAATTCCCTATCATATTTCTTCATAACTGCAGCTCTTCTCTTCTGCATTTCCTCCTCGTCGAATCCTGAGATTTCTGCAGCCGTCTCAATCGCCTCAATAACAACAGGAAAACAACAAAGCAAGTTATGTATGTGAAACTCAACACAATCTTTGTTCATATGAAGACTTATCGCTTTTCCCCACCAATCTTTCACATCCAAACAATATTTTATATACGATTCGCCTTCTTTAAAGATCCTATGTAACTCTTTCATTGGTTGCTCAAGAGCTTTCCACTTTGTATTCCTCTCATTTAACCTTAAATTATGTTTGATTTCTTCAGAAATGGTATCAAAAGCCTGAATATACATATCTAATAGGAAACAACATTGCTTATGATTGATTTGAATATCATGTTTCAACACCATTAGAGCCTTCAAACTCCCTACTACCTCACCAATCTGCCTGAATTGATCCATTTATCTTTATGAGTTACAAAAACTTCAACAAAATAAGGACCTACAATAGAAAAAAACAACACAAATTTTAAAAGGAAGAATATGAAAATATGCAATAGAAATCTTAAGTTGCACAACATGAAAGATTTGAACATCCAAGAAAGAAAGGGCAGTCCGGTGCACAAACCATCCCGTATTCACGCAGGGTCTGGGGAAGGGTCGCATCCCAAGGGGTGTAATGTAGACAGTCTACCCTAATGCAAGCATTAGTGGCTGCTTCCACGGTTCGAACTCGTGACCTATAGATCACAAGAAGAAAAAATATTGTGTTTCTCCCCATAATTGTTACTTAGTCCGATCAATATTATATGCCTTTTAAAGTTCTTGTATGAACCTGACAAATTAATAGCCTTGATCATAAGAATATTTATCTAAATTACATTATATCTCTCCTTAAATGTTTTACTTAATTAATGCTCCACTAATTGGAACAGTAACGATGGATTTCTAAAACGTCAAATATTTTGATCAAAATATAAGTTTTCCAAGGCGATTAAAATCAGTTTATCAAACATGATATCAAATTATCAATCTAGTTGAACATTAAAGCATGTAACATAGGGCTAAAGAGAGCCAAAAAAGAATATTTTGTGTATAATCTTGCATAATCGCGAATGTTCACAGTTTCGTTACATATACCAAATAATACCATGCAAGGAAAAAAGGAAAAAAGGGAAAAAACTTGCATCATATGAAGCTCCATGATATCAATCTATATATATAGATCATGAAATGAACACATACCAAATAATATTGCAAACTTTGAGCTTTTACAAAGTGGGGTTTGCACCTTTTTTTCTACAAGAGAAATGCTGAATTTCTATTAGGTTTCTTAGGATAAACCCAATAAAAATTCAGCAAATATCCTTTTTTGATCAGATCAAGACACCACCTTCAACCAAATTGACTTGCTGAAATTAACGTTGAAATACAAAAATATATAAAATTATCATCAAAATGTAACGTACCCAAAAGTTGGAAAAATCAAGATAAGGCTAGAAAAATACCAACCCCATCATGTTGTAAAATGATGATCGTTTTTAGGTAATTAATTCAGAAACTGATCAAACTTTGGAAAACGCAAAGATCAAAGTTGAAAAGTATGAGGTTGGTAATAGAAGTGGGAAAAAAAAAAGGAATTTTTTGGAATAATATTTTAATTTATCTGTTTTAAGGATTTTGCAAGCGTTTTTGACCAACCTGAAGAATCTTTGGAAATGGCTGATTCTTTTTGAATTCTACATTAGTCATGGCCATTGAAGACTTCCGTTTCTTTTGGGGTTGAATTATATATCTTCCCACAATTTTTGGAAAAGTCTTCTCGAATATTTCTCAATAATTTCTTTTTTCAAATGGAACAAAATAAGATATTAGATTAACTTATATACAAGGATAGTATTATTTATTCCAAGTAAAGGAAACAAATTCAAATGTGACAAAAATTACCATCAACAAGTTCTTTTAATCAAGCAAATAGAACGTGTTGAATAGAGTTTTACCTTACATGCATGGTATTTAGTAGTAGTGTACGTAGGGTGAAGCTAGGATTTCAACTTTACGGATTCAAAATTTTAAAACAACGATTTCAAGTGCTAATAATTGGGTTCTAAATTTAATATTTGTACATATTTAATGAATTTTTTTAACACAAATACATTATTTGAACAAAAGCTACTGGAATCGGCCAAACTCATAGTCGGACTTCTAGGTCTGCCCCTGAGTGTATGCAGGAATTTTGCATAATTAGCAGTGTTAATTTATTATCACAACTCGGCAGGTGTGTAAGATTATCTGTCGCTTGTGTTTATACAAGACTACAAATTCTAAAGTTTTACTTTTGTTTCAAATTGATATCTATTATCTTACATTATTCTTAAAATGTTAGACGATCGAATAGGTTAATTTTTTAATTAAAGCTTCGTACCAACTTCGTAAATCATAAGTGTTTAATTTTCCCAATAGGTTAATTTGCATTGATAAAGTAAAAATTATCCATGCAATAAATCTTTTATAAGTAACTTATAAGAGTTTAAGTTATATGAATACCAGTGTAAAAGATATTTGCACAATCACTTGTTCTGTTATAACATGTTATATTATATTGATGATGTAAGAAAAATTATTGTGTTGTTAACGTATATAACTTAAATCTTCTTAATGCATATCTTAATTCCCTTAGTATTTGAGGTGAATTTGTGAGATCGACTTAGGATTTGTTAAAATTGACCATTCTGCAAGGCCAAGAATGGGAAGAGAAGATAAAGGAAGAAGTATATAGAGAAGAGAATTTCAGAAATTATTTTTTTTTAAAATTCCAGCACGTCGCCGATACAACAAGCGACTTATTTTAGACCTACTTTAAAAATTCCTTTTTATTTTCTGTTGAAATTTTCATATTTTTTCAGAAAAGCATAGATAAAACTAATGCACAAATAAAAGTTTGTTAAAAAGTTTGATCCGCAAACAGATATATCGCATAGAGCCACAACTTATTGCTGATGCACTTTAACAGGTGTATAAATAATATAATAATAATAATAATAATAATAATAATAATAATAATAAAAAGACTTTTAAAATTTGTGGTCTAAATTAAAATATAAATTTTTATTTAGCTATAAATTATCTATTAAGGATAAATAGTAAATGTATGTTAATTGTTACAGAAAGATATCATAATCTTGGGACAACCTAACAAAGGAAAAGTATTAGTACATATTTTGAGATAGAGGAAGTATTATAAAAAGAAAATGCATATAAATCACGGATTCAAGCCGTGAAAACAGTCGCTAATACTTGTATTATAATAGATGTTCACGTCACACCCCTTGTGGTACGGTATTTTCCCAAACCCTGCTTGAACACGGAATTCTTTATACACCAGGTTGTCCCTTGATTTGTGCTTTTAGTGACCAATAAAAGAGAACCTTACTATAAACCTACCCAAATTTAATTAGAAGAATTAACCCAAATAGTCGCTCACCCAACCGCTTAAATTAAAAATAGTCAGTAAAAATATAATATATACTTCATTTATGCATCATACATGTATAATTATATATATAAACTTTGTATATGACTAGAAAAAGTAAAAAATGAATATGAACGGCTGTTTGCGGAAAGATCCCATTTAACTAAACTTGGCCTGCAAAGGAGCTCGTAAAAACAGTACGGTCTAGCCGATTTTTGGACTGGTAATTGAAAAATAATCAGCGTTTGCAAAGTCATTGAAAAATAATTATTATTTTGCTGCAATACTGAAAGTTCCGGCATAATATACTAGAGATTGGTGCACCTGCGTATGAACTTCCAGCATATTATGTAGGAACTCCAGCACACGGAAAGTTCCAACATAATATACTGGAGATTGGAGCACATGTTTATGAACTTCCAATATATTATGTTGGACCAATATATTATGCTGGAACTCCAGTATATTATGCTAAAAGTTCACATGTAAAAAATTTGAACTCCAGTATATTATGTTGGAATATTTTTCGGATTTTGAACAGTATTTTCGTTCAAATTTATCTTTACATAAAAAGTGACTAAATTTCGATTATTTTTAAAATTGTGACTATTTTTCAATTACCACATATAAATCTGGCTATTTTTTAATTTCCTAACTCCTCGTAAGCGCAAAACTCTGGCAACCCAAAATGGGGTAAATAAGATCCTGACACGTGGAAATATATGGACCGCCGATGACGGTGGGAAACAATAATCACATGCCATTTCCGAGACATGCGTCGTGGACCCCACATTTTTCCCGTCGACAAGAATACCGATTACCGATTCTCCCGGTTTACCACTCACTGAATCCAACGAAAAGCCGTAAATAAAAACCATATAAACAAAATACTCTCCATTATTACAACCTTTCATCCTTCAAATATTCACATTATTTTCATAAAAATTTGTATTAATTGTGATTTTTTTAAAAGGAAATCGTCTTGTTTAATTTTCTCTCTCTGCGCACGGCTCTCTTTCGAGAGATCTTTTCGTTTGAGGCTGTTCGCAGAGAGAGTAAGAAAAAATTAAGAATTAATTGAAAAGAGAGATTTAATAATTTAAAAAGAGAACAAAAAAATGGGTATGGGATCTGATAAATTGATGTTTGGTTTCGTTTTAGTATTTGTTCTCTCGATCATTTTGCCTGCTGTTCAGGGACAAGAAGGTTTTGCTCCGGCACCGGCACCGGCTCCGACCAGCGACGGTTAGTTTTTCTTTTTTATATTTTATTTTCTCTTTTGCTTTCAATGGTAATTCATGATTTAAATATAGGATCTAGGATTTTATTTGACAGGTTCAACTTTTTATTACTGATGTAAGGAGTATATTTTTAAAAAAATTGGTGATTTTTAATGTATGTGTCGAAAATATTGGATTCAGTTCCCGCCAATTAATATATAGTAGTTCGAACATGAAAAAAGACAGCATATTGTATAAAGTATATTGTATAAAGTATCTCGCGTTCACGTAGGTACGCCTAACCTAGTGCAAGCATTAGTGACTATTTTTACGGCTTGAACTGATGACTTATAGGTTATACGGATACAAGTTTACCGTTGCTCTAAAGATCCCTTCAAACTAGTTTGACCATGATTTAGATATTTTTAGTGAGAGGTATTTAGGATTTTATCTGATGGATTCAACCTCTTACTATTGAACTTATTACATATAATTGAAATTATGGTTTCAAACGTAATATCATCTTCCTTTCAAAAGTTGAGTTAGTTTTCTGAGTTCGGTTGAACGCATTGATTGCATACTCAATCTATCAATTAATATATAATTCGAGTTAAAGACAACTTTTGGTTGGATATGGATGTTCTATTTATGTATAGTGCTGAACTGCTGATTGTGTTTGGTTGAAATGATAAAATGAATTAAGCAAAGAAAATTGGCTTGTTGATTTTCCAGATCTCCCGTGCCAATATTCAGATCTATGTTTTATTTTTGTTTTCCCACCTGATGTTCAGTTTGCGACCCGACTAAATTCGGATTCACGCCGGGAAGTCCCACATTGGGATAAAGCGCTCTCTAACAAAGTTGACTTCATACACAGAGCTCGAATCTGAGACTTCTGGTTAAGGATGAAGGAGTACTTACCACTCCACCACAATCCTTGTTGGTGATTTATAACTTGTTTGGTCACGCTTTTGAAAGACCAAAAGTGCTTATTCAAAACAAACACTTATGTTTAGAGATCTTATCGTGTTTGACCGAGCCTTTGATGAAAATGATAAGTGTATTTCAATAGTACTCCTTCCGTTCACTTTTAATCGTTCATTTTGGACTTTTCACGCTCCTTAACAAACAATGATCGACATAAGTATTTTACCACAATAACCTTGTTAATTGATTCGTTGGGTTTGTTGTTGTTAACCCTATTAATTGATACTTAGTATCAATAATTGAAACCAAATTCCCATACATAATTATAGTAGCCAATATGAAGAATCAATGTTTAACATTAATTTTTTATAGAAATTAGCACTTTACAACGCATCCATCTCTTTAGTTTAAAAGCTTGATCTTCATCTCTCTGTTTTGAATTTTTAATTTTAATATTCTTTGAATCTTCAACCATTTTAAGTAAGTCCTCTACTTCAATATTTGTGGAAATTTCAAGTGTTTCTTTCAATATGTTTTTCACATCTTTGTCCATTTCTTAAATGTGATGCTCACAAATATTTTTGACTAACCGAGAGTTAAAGAAAAAACTTTTGAAGAAAAAAATATTCCAAAGAAGAGAACAAAGATTAAGTAGAATTTTGTGTTAATTAAGAGGGTTAACGAAGAGTTCTTTGTCAATCCCAATATTAAGCATTGGCTAGCTAAAATTGACCATTAAGCCGTTGTCTAGTATTCTAAAAATATATTTTTATTTTTAGTTGTCACTTTTAGTATATTAAGAGACAATTTTTTCCCTTGTTTTATCCTTAATTCATTTACCAAGACTTCTTCAAAAATTAATGGTCAATTTTAGCTCATCAATGCTTAATATTGGGATTGGCACAAAACTTTCCATTAACCCTCATCGTTAATACAAAACTCCACTTAAAGTCATCTTTTGTTCTCTACTTTAGAATATTTTCTTTTCTTCAAAAGTTTTTTTTAACTCTCCAGTTAGTCAAAAAAATTGTGAGAATCTTCTTTAAGGAATGGACGAAGATGTGAAAAACATATTGAAGGAAACACTTGAAATTTTCATAAATATCGAAGCAGAGGACTTACTTAAAATGATCGAAGATTCAAAGAATATTGAAGTTAAAGATTCAGAAAAGAGATATGAAGATCAAGCTTTTAAACTAAAGAGATGGATGAGTTGTAAAATATTGATATCTATAAAAAAAAATATTGGAACTTCATATTGGCTATAATAATTACGTATGAGAATTGGTTTCAATTATTGAGAACAAATATCAATTAGTAGGGTTATTGTGGTAAAATACTCATGTCAATCATTGTTTCTCAAGGACGTAAAAAATCTAAAGTGGACAACTAAAATAAACTGAGGGAGTAGCATATATTTTCCAAATTTCAGTGCCAATACTTATTTATCGTACTCTTCCTTGTTGCTCTCTCCTCGACAAACTTTATTTGTTCCAAAATTTCTTGCATTTATTCCTTCAAATTTCTCCTTACGCTTCAATTAGTAGAGTAATCACGTGATACATTTAAGCGAAAAATAAGGGGTATTTTAGCTTAGGCAAAGACTATTCAATATCTTCTGGTTGTTACTGCTTCTTCGATATCATATTTCTTTTATATACTATTGTGACTATATATTGTCGGATTATTCCTACGAGAGAAAGTTTTAAGTACCTTGGATTTATTATTCAGGGGATGGGGAGATTGATGAAGATGTCACACATCATATTGGGGCATGATAGATGAAATGGAGACTCGCTTCTGGTGTTTTGTGTGACAAGAAGGTGCCACCAAAACTTAAAGGTAAGTTCTACAGAATAGTGGTCATGCTGGTTACATTGTATGAGGCTGGGTGTTGGCCTGTGAAGATCGCCCATGTTCAAAAGATGAACGTAACAAAGATGGGGATGTTGAGATGGATGTGCGGGCACACCAGGTTAGATAGGATTAGGAATAAGGTTATTCGCGACAATGTGGGTGTGGCCCCTATTGAAGACAAGATGCGGGAAGCGAGGCTTAGGTGGTTTGGACATGTGAGGATGAGGAGTATAGATGTCCCGGTGAGGAGATGTGAGAGGTTGACATTGGAGGGCCTACGGCGAGGTAAAGGTAGGCCGAAGAAGAAATGGGGAGAGGTGATTAGGCAAGAAATGGCGCAGCTTCAGCTAACCGAGGATATGACCCTTGATAGGAAGGTGTGGAGGTCGAGAATTAGGGTAGGTGGTCTAGATTGTTCATACCGGTGGTATTAGTACGCACTCTCGCATTCTGTTGGTAGTACGTTTCTTTGACCACCCGTCGTTTTCTTTCATTTTGATCATCTTATTATCGTGTTGTTTTTATGTTGCTTTTACATGGCTTTTTGGTGTTGTCGCTTCTTGTCTATCTCTTAATTAATGTGGTGCTTATGTTTTCCTGAGCCGAGGGTCTATTGAAAACCACCTCTCTACCTTCACAAAGGTAAGGGTAAGATCTGCGTACACACTACCCTCCCCAGACCCCACGATGTGAGATAATACTGGGTATGTTGATGTTGTATACTATTGTGATTATGATTATCTTGACTCGGGGGTCTATTCGATAACAATCTTTTTACCTGCACAACATAGGGATAAGGTTTGCGTATACTTTACTCTCATCAGACTTCACTTGTGGGATTACACTTGGTATGTTGTTGCGAAGACTTTTAAATGTCTTTCTTAACGAATGTGTAGCTGCCTTGAAACATAAATCTGTGTTTTCTCGTGCGTGTTGGCCAGGACATCATGGTTATTTAAAAAAACAGTAAGCATGGAAGTGTTTTAATTGATTTGTGGTAATTGTATTGTAGGTACAACAATTGACCAGGGGATTGCATGTGTATTAATGTTGTTGGCTTTGGCAGTGACATATCTTGTTCATGCAGCTGATGTTCAATATAATTAACTTCTAAAAGAACAATGGATTTATTGAAGATCATTCGTATTGAGAGTGCCTAGGTTATGGGATTTGTACAAGGTTTTTCTTGTAATTTGTATTATACCTAGGACACATGAAATTTAGTCATCTTTGTTTAGGATTCTAACTTTTGAGAAGCTATCTATTTTGAGAATCCGACAATATTTACATATTCTTGGTTTTGCTACTCATTATTCTGCATATTGTCTTATTCTTATACTGTGGAGATTAAGAGGAAACTAAAATGTGATGTGTGATCTTCCAGAAATTGGTACACGTTTTATGTATTCTTGGTTTAGCTACTCATTATAAGTACGTCTTTGTTGATTTCTTGCACCAAAAGAACTGAAACAAATTATTTTCTACAATTTAAAAAAAAAAATCTAATTGTGGACCTATTCTAATAAAGACATAGGGAATAATATTCACAAAATTGCACCGGTTGTCGCACTAAGAGACTGGTCTTTAATATCGTCCCTTTTATGACTTTATTGCAAAAATAGATTTCTTTCGTCAAGATCACCATAGTTCTTCAATATTTGAAGCTTGAAATTATTTGGGGGTGAAAATTGAAAGTTAATGATTGATTATTATTAAAATTGTTTGAGTGTTATTAATTTGTGCTAAAAAATTTAGTTCATATATTGATTTAGTGATTTGCTTTAAAAAAATTTAAAACTTTATTGTTGGACCTTAAAAAGTATTTAAGATGATATTATTTGATTAAATTGGTAATCATTTGTATTGGCATCTGGAGGATCTGTTTCAAATTTAAGATCATTCAGAGCAGATTTGGAACAGTTTGATCGATTGAAATTACAAAGTGGAAGAATACTTTGTTGAACAACACATAAAATTAGGCCAATGGGGTGGACTTTAAATAAACAATTTAACAAATAGGCTGTTTGTAAATAATACAAAATCATGCAAATCTGATAAAACTCGATGTGCAATTGAACAAGCACAAAATTATGTGGACAAATTTAAAGAACATTGTTGCTTTATAGACAGTTCTACTTCTCTCAACTACCGACATTAGTTAGTCGTTATTATTTTTAATGGGAAGAGAAGTGGAGAAGAAAAAGAAGATTGTTGCCTGCCTGCATGTATCACATGTTACTTCCAATTGGAAAAATTGCATTTTTCTTTTGGAGATTAACCAAAAAAATACTCAAGTTTTAAGGCTTTGGACTGCTTCACATATATGAGAGATCACGTAGCAGATACCAATGGTTAAAATGCTTACCACTTAGAACCCATCCAGCAGAATTTCAAAACCATTTAATCTTACACACATAAGGCAAATTAAGTGTTTCACAGAGGGTCACAATTCAACCTTTCCCCTTGAGTTAATTATGCATAAGAAACACAATTACTTAATACATCATAGATAAAAAAACAAAAAGATCAGAGGAAAAGGAGCACCTCCAAATACTTGTGTTTCAGCAACTAACCCATGGCATACTTTTGAGTCCAGCTCCGAGCAGTGGCTTCATACTTGCTTTTATCGGTCTTGTACATATGAGCAATCTCAGGCACCAAAGGATCATCAGGATTAGGGTCCGTTAGCAGAGAACAGATAGACAGCAGCACCTGCAAGGAACAGATACAAAATAAGCCACCACCGTATACCAGCCACAATCTGGTGTCCTGACATGTTATCTGCACTTTGATAGATCGATTATGGTTAATGCAATTGAAATAAACAAGGCACGGTTTGACCTACAAATTTCCCTCTTTTAGCTTTTCTGTTTTTATAACAAAAAAAATCTCTGAGGACCAACCGGACAATGTTCGAAACTCGCTGATTAATGTAACTACCCTTTACCTTAAACTATCTAAATACCAGGTTTTCAGTCCGCGGCAAGGTTAGTGGCATGGGGCCTAACCCACAAATTTAGCTTTCTAGAGATCAACTTCAACTGATAAGAGTCTAACTGGGAACACGGAAAATCCTGCTGGTACTCACTCAGTTTCTAATATTTACACTCTCAGCAAAAGGAAAATATTATTGCACACTTCTTTCAGTTGGTTGAATGAGAGGACAACTAGATGAATAGATGTATGCATGTGAAAGTTATACTGATCCAAAATACATTCACATTGTTAGTTCACTTTATTCAATTGTGCACAGTATTAGTCCTTGAAATTCTTGTGATGTAATTAATCGAAAAGTCAAATGTGTTTGAACCCATATCAAGACAAAACCTTGGATATTGTGAGTGCGGGGCTCCACTGTTCCTTCAAAATGTCGAGGCAAATGCTACCATTGCTGTTGATGTTTGGGTGAAAAACCTTTGTCCTAAAAGCTACCTGCACATTGTTCCATTTATAAGTTCTGAAATATCCCAGGGTTAAAAGAGTAAAGAAAAGAAAGGAGCGAGACAGCCAAAAACTATGTACTTTGGCAAATGAATGTAAGAGCACACCAAGTCCAATTCTTAAAAAATTACATAAAAAACTCAGCCCAATAAAGGATTCTGTATGGAATAAAGCAAAATTGTTAACTAGGATACCAACAAGAAAAACAGACTTTCAGATCCCCCTCTAGTTGAGAGTTCAACATAGTACTCACGAGGGAATGTTCTTGATGAAATTAACAAGATGCATGTTCTTGATTCGTAGACCAATACCGAAGAGCGTAGAGAATTCCAAGATCTCGTGATATGGCTCAATGCAACATGAACCTAAAGGGAAATCCAAGCTATCCTGCTTAGTTTTTTTTGGATGAAGGTGGTGTCGGGACCAACTTGAACACACACTTCCACTGATCCACCAAGCAAACCGCAACTAGCACACAAACACAGGTTCCAGGTAAACCAGCCTATTAAGGCTGGAGCAGAGTGCCTCACTCTGAGTGGTGTAGCTAGGATTTAAACCTAGGATCTCCAAGTTTTATTCTTGTACCTCAAACACTTACCAATCTCCTTGGTCCAAATCCAAGTCATTCTTCTTACACTTGCACAACATGCTGTAATCGTCCTCCCCAGTTCATGGCTTCAGTGGATTCCACACAAGCAAAGCTCGAGCAAAGACGACTCTCGAAAACCACTTGGGGAACAATAGTACTCTTTCTTGTAATACAGGAATGAAGAGCAAACTTGAGATGCTTTTGAGTAAACAAATAAGCACACAAGACAAACTCACAGGAATTACCATCATTACCGCGCTAACAAAATGCAGATACTCAGAAAATGGTTGAGCTTTCTTGATGCAGGTTTAATTGACCAATCTACATAAATATTACAGTCAATTCACTTAACTTTTAAGGCATGACTAACACCAACAAAATTGAGCTTTACAGAATGCCTATTCACACTAGTTTGAATTCATAAAGGGGAAGAAAGCAGCTCTCCCTAGCAAATGAGCTGTAACATACTTGGCTTAACATATTGTTGTGAACAGAGACATTTGGAACCATTGATAAATAATTGCAAGCAAAAAAGAAAAAAAAAAAAAGGCAATACATTTGATCCTGAAAAAAGAATCCCAGCACGATTTAGGAATAGTACATTGATAAGCAAACAAGCAACTTATCACGTAAGTCATCAAGATGAAATATAACCCCATGTCATAGATAGGATACCTTTGGAGGCTTAAATGGATAATCAGGCGGAAAATGAATGGTAACAAGAAACACTCCGCCAGCATAAGGACTGTCAGATGGACCCATAAGCGTTGCTTGCCAATGAAACATATCTTCAGCAACTGGGCCTGATACAAGAAACAGCATAATGATCAGAGAACAATGTTCCACATGTAGAATTATAGACCTTAACAAGTTTCACAAAGCTACTGCTAATAAAATAGCAAAAGATAAAGCAGAAAGAATCAGATAACTTTCCGCATGCAGATAGCAAACACATCTCAAGAATAAACACAGACATGGTAGGCTGGTTCAGATGCACAATCCACCTTTACCTTATGCAGATCTTTCAAAGTTTTGTATCATGTGCAATTTGGAACCTTACAATGTATCATTTAATCATTTTACTAATCACCAGAAAATCAATCATCTAGCCTTTTCTTATTTATTGTTCCTCCTGCGTTTAGTTTCATTAGGAATGAAGGGAGCAAAGCTCCTCGGATTTGTATTAAACTAAGAACGCCAGGATATAACCTCCACAAATAACATCACTGAACCAAGAATGCTAATACATGACCTCCACAAATAAGAAGCTGCAATACTACCACAAAAGAAAAAACAGACGAACTAGAAACATAAGAGTCTCTTCTAAATGCCACAACCTAATTCCTCCTGATTCTTTTTTTTGATGAAGGGTGAAACATTAATAGGCATCAAGAAGATGCAAAAGGTACAAAAAGGTAGATAACTAGCTCCAGTGCAAAAATCTATGCTAAGAACAGGGAGCTAAGGAAATCCACAAGGTGATCTGCACTAGTTACAGGGGAAAGATAAATCCAGCTAAATAGATTAACTAAGCAAATAGTCTTGAGGGAGTAGGTTGGAGTTGCGATGCCATCAAAACACCTCTGACTTCTTTCTGTCCAGATACACCAAAAAATTACCGTTGGAAGTTGGAACCATTCTCCAGATCTTCTTGATGGCTTTGTCAACTCTCCAAAAACACCAACTTTCATATGCTTGCTTTATTGTCTGAGGCATAACCCATTTCAGACCAAAAATAGAGAAGAAGAGATTCCAGATTTCACTTGCAACTGCGCAATGGAGGAAAAGATGATTATGACACTTACTGAATTTTGTTGACACATGTAACATCTGATCAGGGTTTAAGATTCTCACTATCTTGCATAATGTTAAGTGCAATATTATATGCAAAAATATTATCCACCACTATTTCAGATCGATTTAAATTAATCCCATCACTAGTAGAACCTATTAAAAGTTCCTCACTCACTTGAGTCTCGGGTTCATTGATTTCTTCAGGAATCTCAGAACTAATCAGATCTTGGGTCTTTTCAGGATATCCCTTCATAATATCATTTTGATCATTTATCGATTTTCTTTTTCTAGGATTTCGATCCTTAGAACCCAAAGGTCTACCACGCTTCAGGCATGCTTTAGGTTCACTAGCTCTCATGCTAGTAGATGGTCCTGCTGGGACATCAATTCAGATAGGCACATTCTCTGTAGGGATATGCGACTTAGTTATCCTTTTCAAATCAGTAAATGCGTCTGGCATTTGATTTGCTATATTCTGTAAATGAATGATCTTTTGGACCTCCTGATTGCATATAGGAGTATGTGGATCAAAGTGAGATAATGATGAAACTTTCCACACAATTTCTCTTTTGATTTCCTTTTTCTCTCCCCCTAATTGTGAAAAATTTGTTTCATCAAATCAACAATCTGCAAATCGAGCAGTAAATAAATCTCATGTCAATGGTTCAAGATAGTGAATAATAGAGGGTGATTCAAACCCAATATATATTCCTAACCTTCTTTGGGGGCCCATCTTACTACGCTGTGGTGGTGCTACTGGCACATATACAACACATTCAAAAATTCGTAGATGGGCAATATTTGGTTCATGACCAAAAACTAATTGTGACGGAGAATATTTATTATAATGTGTTGATTTGAGACGGATAAGTGATGTTGCGTGCAAGATAACATGGCCCCAAACAGTAGTGGGCAGTTTTATTTTCATAAGTAGTGGTCTTGCTATCAATTGCATCCGTTTAATAAATGACTCTGCAAGGCCAATTTGAGTATGAACATAAGCTACAGGATGTTCAATTTTTATTCTAACTGATAGACAGTAATTATCAAAAGCTTGAGATGAGAATTCTCCAGCATTATCAAGGCGAATAGCCTTTATAGGATAATCTGGGAATTGTGTCCTAATCGAATTATTTGGGCTAATAACTTTGCAAATGCCAGGTTGCGAGATAATAGTAGGCACACATGAGATCATCTTGAAGATGCATCTATTAGGACTATAAAATATCTAAACAACCCACTTGGTGGGTGAATAAGTCCACATATATCCCCATGTATACGTTCTAGTTAACAAGTGTAATGTTCCTCTTGCTTAAGTTGTCTTGAGTGAGACATAGCCCCTTTATAGCTATCCATTCACCTTTGCAGGCACCTTAGTTCTCCAGATATGTTTCAAGACCAGTTATCTATCATACCATTCTGGGAACAAAAGTGTTTGTAACCATCTTGGACTGTGTATTTGCCCCCCTTAGAGTGTTCCCATCTGAGTTTGTCTGGCTGTTGATCATCACTGATATGGCCTTCTAAAGAGTTGAACATAGTTAGTGGGTAACTAATCTCCCAGTCCTGTAGATTTCGTCTAAACAGGGGGCACCATGTACCATTTTCTTTGTTCTGAGCAACAGTAGATTCCTTGTTGAGTGCAATCTGGTATAGATTAGAATATATATCCATCAGTGCATTATCTCCATGCCACTTGTCTTTCCAGAATTTAACATGATCTCCTCCTTTCCCAACCTTGAAGGTTATATTTTGAAAGAACTCATCCCAGTGCTTGCTGATATTCTTCCATAGGCCAATGCCATAAGGAGTGTTTATTTTCTTTGTACACCAGTGATTATGTTGCCCATACTTAGCATCAATGATGTTCTTCCATAGTCCAGGTCTATCTTGCCCATATCTCCACAGCCACTTCAATAACATTGCTTTGCTATCCAAATATAAATCTAAAACACCCAAGCCTCCTTGATATCTTGGCCGAATTATTTTAGACCATTTTACGAGTGGGAATTTAAGTGTGGTGTTGCATCCCTCCCATAAAAATTTTCTCCTAAGTTTATCCATCTGTTTTAGGACTGAGCTTGGTATCGGGAACAATGACAAGTGGTAAGTGGGGAGACTATCTAGGACACTGTTGATGGGGGTTAATCTGCCGCCCATGGAGAGGTATTGCATCTACCATGTTGCAAGCCTTTTCTCAAACTTTTCCAGCACACCACTCCAAATTTCGTTAGATTTGAACTTGGCCCCCAATGGTAGTCCTAGATATGTGGTAGGCAAGGTACCTATATTGCAACATAGAATGTCTGCCAACTCCTCGATGTTAGGACTTGGGAACATAATTCACGAGGTACATAATGCTTTTTATCATGTTAATGTGCAGTCCATAGAGTGCCTCAAATATTATCAGCGTCGAGTTAAGGTTCAGAACTAGTGATCTCTCGTTGCCGTAGAAGATAACAGTATCATCTGCAAAGAGCAGGTGAGATACTATGACTGCGCTACAAGGGTTCCTTCCCACCTGAAAACCTTGTATCCATTGTAGTTGCTTAGCCCTCTCCAACATTTTGGTGAGTCCTTCCATAGTTCAGAAGACTAAAGAATGTTTTCTTCAATGAGGCTCGTTAAAATTTTCTATTATCTTAAAAGCAACCAGAAACCTAGCCATCTTATCCTCATACAAGAGGCACAAAGTCACTGGCGACAGGAAATCATATTGACAGACTAAATGGAAGATTCTACATTTCAAGCAAACTTCGAGAAAATATGAGAACTTTTTCCTTCTCGTTTCATTATGTTCTTTTTCCCTCATGGTTATTTTGCCATTTTCTTTCTTGGGGGGAGGAGGACTGTCTTTTCAACACACTCACATGAGCTGAATAATTAGCTGAAAGAGAAATTAATAAAACATCACGTTCTTTGTTGTCCATCGAATGAGACACCTTGAATGATGTTGTAATGGACTCTGCACCAGGTAACTAAGTTACTTGACATCATTGTGATCGCAACACAATGAAAAAACGTGGCAGTAATAAAAGTTTCAGGCTACAAAAGAAGCCAAGAGAACTGGTAGGTACTTAATTCCTCAAGCTGAATCAATAAACCTAGTTTAAATGAAAATATAACCAGCTCAAAGAGAAAAATGGAAAGTCCTAGCATTTAACTCTAGTCTCTAATTGTTACCAAGATGTTATCATCCTTTCCTTTTTGTACGCCCTTCAGTTTTAACTCTACCGTCTTCCCAATGACTCTTTTTCCCATTACCATAGGATCCAAAATCAAACAGTAACATCCTAGCTGTTACTCTTCTCCCCTGTACACCTTTCTTTCTCTATCTTTGAACTGAACGCTAAACTCTGATAGCCCCTTCAACTGTCTGCTCCTTCCAAATATCACAGCAAGCAAAATCATGTACATGGAAGTAAGTGGTATGCTCAAATCTCATCCCTACAAAAAAACTTCATGAAAGAAAAATAATGGACATAGCAGTTACCATCGTTTTTCTTCTCTCAACACCGCAGGTCCAATCTTTTCTTTGCTTTATGATGTTATTCTTGAATCTGATGAGTTTAACCTGACTATATATACAATTACTTTCGTGCTTTTGCTCTCTTTAGTAAGCACAGCATTTGATATTATTTCTTACCTTTTTCTTCAAATAAAGATTCTTTAATTATTCATCTTTCTACAGTGGAGAGGAGATACTTCTTTCCAGATATTTCATAGGCAAAACTAAATGTCAGAAGAAGCGTTCACATCCCTACTACTATTCCCGAAAAAGGCTGCAAAAAAATTAAGATTAATCTAAAACAAAAAGCATTCCAAGTTGTTTCAAATTTCCAGCTAGATTTAAAAGTCGTTTCATTTTGACCTCTAACAAGCTCAAGATTGCTCCTTTCATCAAAAATTTGTTCATCTAAGGTCCAAGTCCAGATAACCTGAGTTCTACCAGCCTACCTTTTGCAGACTAAGCAAATTTATAGTGAACCAGACTCACTGACCTTTTTTCATCATTCACTATCCCCTCACTAAAACCTGGATAATAGAAAAAGGTGAAAAGAAAAGAAAAAAACAGCAAAAATGTCCAATCATGCCCCAAAAGAACAACCTGAATTCTTCACACTTCCCACACCATAACTAAGGAATCATGTAGTCTGGAAACTAAAAAGGATAATCTTCAAAAAAAGATCAGCCAGTTTCATTTTATTAATTCTTGTAACCTCAGCCCTCACAGGAGGATCACTAGACAGGAAAAAATTCTAATCCACACGTGTGTTTTGCAGCAAGAACAAACGCATTGTGACGAGTCCTAAATTGGTGCTTTAAGGGATAGGTGGTTTATTTAATATGGCTCGGGCAATACTCACCTCTTGAGCTAGCTGTTGGAGTTAAGTTAGGCCCAATGTCCATTTCTTTAACATGATTAAAAAAAAAATTATCACTTTAACCATAGTTACTTCTTTTTTCCTGACGGCAGTTTTCGAGCCAGCCTGCGCGCTATTCCATCGGATACCTGCTACTTCCAACCAACACAGGTACCCATTAACTCTGCCCACAACGGTCTAGGCTTAGGCAGATAGAAAGAAATCACTTAGTGCTTTTTTGAACCTAAGACCTCAGGGTTCTCCTCCCACTAGGCCAAGCCCGCCCTTGTGCCACTTAACCAGCTACTTAATACATCAATTTGTCACTATTGCTTCTTCTTTTGAAAGTTAAATTAACTTGTTAGTGCAAAAACTTGCACACTTTTCATCAACAGTATTCTCAAGCAAACCTTACTCGTCAAAGCACCAGCCAATTTTGAAAAATCACCAAAAAATAAACATAAGAAAAAAAATATACAGAAGAAAATAAACGAACAGAAAGAGTTGGAGATGGTACCAGCGCTGCAAGAGGTAGGAGGATCTTTCTGGAGATCCTTGAGCTCTTTCAGAATTCGCTTGGATGCCATATTCGTTACCAAATCCCTAATTACACAAAATAAATAAAACAAAAAAACCCTAAATCAGCTCGAGCTTTACGAACAGTTTACATGTACTATGAGATATATGGATACAAATTTACAAATACTAGAATTGAAAGAGGATAAGACAATTTGTTTTACCTCAGAAATCCTCCTACTCGATTTCTGCAAAAAAGGGAGAGTTCAAACAGTGAAATAAGAGACGGTCTTTATAGACAGAAGAAGAGATTTTTTTTGTAGCAGTGAACCGTTTCGTAAATTTACTGGGTAGTTTTATTCTACGACCCCCGTTATTTTGTAAATGTGACACTTTGATCCCTTCAACGTTTCTTTAACTTCTATAATATTTTGTGCTGGTACAACAATAAAATCAAAGTGGCGCAGCGGAAGCGTGGTGGGCCCATAACCCACAGGTCCCAGGATCGAAACCTGGCTTTGATATATGCAAGGAGAGCGAAACTCCCTTTTTGCTCGTCTTTTTTAGATAATTTTTTTCTTCCTTTTTCTATTTGAATCCTTATTCTCGTATTTTGCTTATTTTTAGACTTTTATTACTACCTTTATGTTATAAAAGAAGAAGAAGAAGAAAATTGTAGAGAAAAGTAGGGAGAGAGAATTCTTATTGATTTGGGATTAATTACAATGGAATAGAACCCCTCTATTTATAGGGGGAAAGTGACTTAACCACAAAGTAACAAACCATAGAATTTCTCTAACATATAGACATTCACCTTAAATAAAACTCTATTTATAACACTCCCCCTTGAATGTCTATTCATCAGATAATGTGTCTCATTAAAATTTTAACTAAAATAAAACCCAATGAAAAAAAACTCTAGTGAAGGAAAAAGAGCACACGTGTTTAGAAATACGCTTTTCGGTTGCCTCGTTAAAAACTTTGCAAGGAAAATTCAGTGGGACAAAACCTTGTAAGGAAAAAAGAGTCCAACGTGTATTAACTCTCCCTAATGAGACAATCAATTGACATCTTTGAGCCTTTGTATTCCAATCTTGTGCACCATCTTCAAAAGATCGTTGGTATAGATTTGATAAACAAATCATCCATATTACTTGAATGAATATGTTGCACCTTGAAATCATCATTCCCGATAAAGATGTATTGTCTTCGTATGAATCATCATTTCAATATCTTTGCATAGGGGTAAAGACTCTTACTATCGTATTATCATGCTTATATTTATGGCAAGATACCTATGTGCACAAATTGCACTTAGGATGTGGTACATCAGGATCAAGAATTGTATATGTTTTAAGCGATTTAAATCCTTCAGGGATTGTCCTATAAGTTAAGTCATATAAGCCATATAAATAGACTTTAGATGCATATCAAGTTATCATGTCATGATAAACATACAAGATAGATAAAAGTGATTGCACACTCTGTTGACTTTATACTTTCAAGTGTTTGAACTACATGTCCAAAACTACATGTCTTTCATATGAAACCAATTCTATTCGAATTGTGTCTCTTCCATTTGGCCAATATTTTTGTGTCTCTATTCGATAGACTTAAGATCCTCATCTATACTTAGTGTTATGATAGATGTCGTCGACGAACATTTTATATCGGTTCCAATATTTATTCATAAAGACATAACATAGAGATCTCTTCATTTATATTTCAGGTACATGAACCTCTCCTGAGATTTTATGAAGTATTATGTCATATGATCTTCTAGATCATTTGCCTCATTATTATAATCATTTTGATTATTTGCTCCTCTTCTTTATCAAGAATATTATTTGAAACTGATTTGTCTATACGCTTTTATGATGACCCGATAGGTCATCTTTAAATTTAATAATTATTTCTTTATTCTAAAACTTCAAATAGGAACCTTTGAGTATTCCTCGACTTTTGTGCGTAGTCCATAAATTTTTTCGAAAAGATTTTATGTGAAAAAATGATTAAAATGTGAAATAGAGCTTTAAAGCTCAACTGAGTTGACTTCGGTCAACGTTTTGAGCAAATGGACCCGGATCAGTATTTTAAAAGTTCTGGTAGGTCCCTATCGTGATTTGGAACTTGGACATATGCCCAGAATCGAATTCGCATGTCCCTAGCTCAAATTATCGCCATTTAATGGAAACTAGAAATCTAAAGGCTAAAGATTTCCAAAGTTTGACCGTGAATTTGACTTTATAGATATAAGACTCGGATAGAGATTCAGAGAGTTGGAATAGTTCCGTTAGGTCATTTGGGACTTACCTGCAAAATTTGAGATTATTCCGGATTGAGTTGACATGTTTTGGCGTGAGTTATAGAATTGAAAATTTCATAAACTCATAAATCTGAATCGAGGTGTGAATTATAATTTCGATATTATTTGACATAATTTGAAACCCCGAGTACGTCTGTATTATGTTAGAGGACTTGTTGGTATATTTGTACGGGATCCCGAGTAGCTCGGTGAGTTTCAGAGTGAGTTTTGAGCAAGTCTGGGCATTTCGGCACTCTGATGTTGTTCTGGAACTTTTGGAAGTGGGCACATTTTTGAGAGCTGAGGCAAAGGAAAAATGCGGACCGCACAATTCTTCTCGCGGTCGCACTTCAGGGGGTTCTGCAGGTTCGATGGTCTGACTTCGGAAGCTTATATCTTTTAATCTATAAGAAATTTGGAAATGATTCAAAAACGGAAGTTATAGCCCTTTGAATCTAGTTTCCAGAAAAGTATACCATTAATCATTTGGACATTTGAAGCCTAATAGTGTGGCCACTATTGAAGTGCAGCCACATAATTTGGATCGCGGCCGCAGAACCCGGTATGTGCGACCGCACAAGAAAATGTGCGGTCAGCACAATGAGAGGTCAGATTATGTACTATATAACCGAGGTTTAGGGTATTATTTTATATTTGGACTTTGGAAGCTCTATTTGTGACGATGTTTCGTGGGTTTTGCAAGAAATTCATCGGGGTAAGTGATTCTAACTCGGATTTGGTTAATATACATGAATATATCATTGTTTTCATCATTCAATTTGCATTTTGAACTTCATAAACTATAATTTTAGGATTCGAATGGCAATCCGATGTCGGAATTCGATAATTTTTATATGGTTGAACTCGTATCGGAATGGGTGTTCGGATTTCGTAATTTTTTTACGGGCCCCGAAAAGTGGGTCCCACGTTGACTTTTGGTTGACTTTTCCGAAAATGACTTAAATTAAGTCTCTTTCGAATTGTGAATAATTTCTAAAGCTCAATTCGAATTGTTGGTAAATAATTTGCTAGGTTTGATTGGTTTGGAGAATAATTCAAAAGGAAATGTTGTGGTCGAGTGATCATTTGAAATTGTAAAACAAGGTAAGTGTCGTAGTTAACCTTGACTTAAGAGAATAGAACTCTTAAATTATTTGTTATGTGAAATTCATGTGAACGACGTGTATGCGAGGTGACGAGTGTCTACACGTCGTCAAATTAATTATTTGCATAATTATTTAAAAATTATAAATTGTTTTAAGACATGAATTAATTGTTATAATAATTGTTTCTCTCATATCCCTTGTCAATATTAATTCTTGAATTCGTGCAATAATTGTTACATACTTATTTGATTTATGTGTCTTAATTACTACTTGACATTTAGCATATTAAATATGAAATTGCATATTCTCTCCCTGATTTTCACAATTAATCGCTACTTGTCTTTACTTGTTTCCTAAATAATTTATAAATATTGTGTGCCTTGTTGCATGATAATATTTTACTGAATGTGGTATTTATGAGAGTATTTTTATTATATTTAAGAGTTGTTAAATTATATTGTTGGAGCGGGTTGCACGCTGCAACAGAAATAAAAAGGAATATATTGGGGGATCGGGTTGCACGCCGCAACGGATTATATTTTAAGTTTATATTGTTGGAGTGGGTTGCACGCCGCAACGAAAATTTATTGAAGAATTATATTGTTGGAGCGGGTTGCACGCCGCAATGGAAATTGATTGAACTAATAATTGGTTATGACTGCCGGGTTGGCTTCAATTGTTGAAATGAGTTACGTGTTTTATTTCTATTATTGTTGGTATTACTATTATTGCGTACAAGTTAATGTAAGTGACCTACCTTAGCCTCGTCACTACTTCGTCAAAGTTAGGCTCGACACTTACAGAGTACATGGGGTCGGTTGTACTCATACTAATACTATACTTTGCACTTCTTGTGCAGATTTTGGAGTTGGTCCCAACGGTGTACCATAGACTTGCTCGGATTTCAGCTACCCGGAGGAGACTTGAGATATAACTGCACAGCGTCTGCAGTTCTGAAATCCCCTTCTACTTTATTTTAGATGTGTGTTTTCTTTCAAACAACTTTATTTTATTCAAATCCTTATTTGTATTATTCTAGAAGCTCGTGCACTTGTGACTCTAATTCTGGGATGATATTTAGACATCGCGATTATTATGGATTATTCACTTTATTTCCGCATTTATTTCTTTGTTATTAATTAATTCAAAAATGTGTTAAAATGGCTAATTATATTCTAACATTGGCTTGCCTAGCAAGTGAAATGTTAGGCAATCACGGTCCCGAATGTGGGAATTTCGGGTCGTGACAGCCTTAAGCATACCATAGAATTTGTCCTTCTATGACTTATTCTAATAAGAGCATTTGCAGTGAGAATATAATTACTTTTTTTGGGTCAGTAAACACGTCTGGCATGCTTTGCAATATATTACAAATGAATTATCTTTTTTATGAATTTCAAATTCATATTATCTTATTCGAGGATCTTGATGTACAAATGATAATTCATTCCACATTATTTTTTCTCAATTGTTTATCTTGTCTCCCCTCATGTTAGAAAAACTAACTTGCTTGCACAACTTTGAAAATCCACCTTTGTGTGTTATGGTGTTAATTAAAATATACACGCACATGAATAATAATAAGATGACATTATTTGGTTCATGACCCTGAACCACTTGTGAGGGAAGAATGTAATATACTTTCGTATATAACGTCTATCAACTAATATAGATTATTTGTTCTCATAATGTCACGACCCAAAATCACGTGACCGGCACCAGTCACACTACCCGACTCGAGCAAACCAAACCATGTGATGCACCTAAATCATATGCATGAAAACCAATTTAACTACGGAAGCTCCTTGAAAATCATATATATTTTCAAGTTAAATGATAAAATATTTAGAAATTCAAAATCACACATGACGTCTTTTGTGATAATAACAATGAGACTAAGTAAAATAAATATACTTTCA